GTCTGCATGTTATATACCGGGGTGCGGTCTGCATGTTATATACCGGGGTGCGGTCTGCACATTGCATACCAGGACAGTAGTTTCTCTTTCTCTTCTTCAGGAGAAACTAGAGCTGGACTGAAATGGGCTGATGGGAAAATTATAAAAAATGAGGTTGACATGCAGGTTAGTCTGGATCAGTTAGTCTAGACTACAGTTGACTGTATGTTTGCAAAAATATGTCAGGCTTGTAAGTGCCCTGCGTGTGATTCCTTCAATGTCCTGTCAGGTCCTCCACCTCTTGGGGCCAAAGACGGAAGCTGACCTGGAGAAGAAGCCCAAGGTAACAGGCGTGAGATAAACACCCGTCCAGCTGAATGCTGAACTGTCCCTGATACTCTGTTATACTGTAGTAGCATTGTTTAGATATGGGCTTATCAGTGTTATTCAGTATTAATCAATAATTTGTAATATTCTGGGTTTTGTTGTAGTAGTTCAGACCTTCACTATGAGTAGTATTATGAAATGCATTAAATCAGTTTACAGTAAATACAGTAACTACAGCTGATAGCTAATATGCATTGCAAATACCATTGCATGTTGTTTTCTTCCAGGTTCCTAAACAAAAGCCCCAAGAGAATATGAAGAAGGAAGAAGATGTGGTTGGTAAGAAGTCAGTGTGTCGTGGGTGAATTTATTTTTGGCCATCGGTTTGCCTGTTAATGTCTCTCATACATTAGAATCCTGTGTCATTACAGTGTAATAGTCTGCGTTTCAGTGAGGTGGCTGTTTGTAACCCAGTGTCACTGCTTGGCCTTTCATCTGTGCTAAAGGTGAGACTGAAGGCAAATCTTTAATGGAACAGCTCAGAGGGGAGGCCTTGAAGTTTCACAAAACCGGTGAGGGAGACATTTATTTATTGTACCCAGTTTACCCTGTTTATTCTCGACTTTCATTTAGAAAATGCTGTGAGCAGAAGCAGTATTGGGGATCAGTCACGCGAGTCTTTGCAAACATTTCGCTGAAACTTTTTTCTGTATTTACTATATTGTGACTTCATGCACAAACACAAGGGCAAAGCTTAATTTCGTCCAGGGCTTTTGAAAGAAGCTGGAGGTTATGATGTGCTGATGGATTTACCTGTACAACCCGGTCCTTCTATCTAGGGGAGAACTATAAAACAGAAGGCTATGTGATGACACCCAACACCATGAACTTGCTGAAGAAACACCTGGAGATCACTGGAGGGCAGGTAGGCCTGAACCTGATGATGAGTGAGTGGGGGCCGGCTGGAAATGCCTGCGGGTCGGTCTTATGGAACACGTGACACGCTCTCATCACTCGCGGTCCTGAACTCCATCTGCAGGTGCGCACCAGGTTTCCCCCCGAGCCGAATGGAATCCTGCATATCGGTCACGCCAAAGCCATCAACTTCAACTTTGGATACGCCAAGGCACGTAAGGTTTAATTCCCTTAATCCCCTGCCTTTTGGGTATAGGATCACAAAATAACTCCGTTAGGTCCCAGTCAATACTGTAAGCACCCAATGCAAATTGTAAGACTAGTGCTGATTTTGGTAATACACTATATAAGGTCAATTTTTAGGCAAATTGGCCATATATCTTACATCGTATCAGGAGAGTACTGATTAGCAGTTACAAACCTAACTGCAGTATCCCATTCCATCCATCCATCCATCCATATCTTCTGCTACTTATCCGTGTCTGTATCGCGGGGGCAGCAGTATAAGCAGGGATGCCCACACCTCCCTCTCCCCAGCCAGCTCCTCCAGGGGAATACGACATGCGTGAAGCACCTCCCCAAGGAGGAGTCCAGGAGGCATCGGAGATAGAAGCCCAAACCACCTCAGCTAACTCCTTTCATCTACAGTTGAATGCAATGTTTAAAATGGAATGTATTTCCTATTCCCCAGTTTGACTTCAAAAGCAGTTTGTGAGGGTCTCTTTTAGCAAGAGAAAATGCAAGCGTCTCCCATTCCGTATCACTACTGGTTTGTGTGAGTAGGTTTGAAAAGACCCCACCCTAAAATTCATTGTGAACCCCAGTAATCTTAGACCTGTGTTTGTACTGGGCCACTTAGTCCAATGGCGGAATCTGCTACCTACGTTATGATGACACCAATCCAGAGAAGGAGGAGGAGAAGTACTTCACCGGCATCCGCGACATGGTCGAGTGGCTTGGTGAGTCTGGATGGCTATTTAACAAGGAGAAGCATCTCGGGGTGTTTCGGAACGCATGAGTGAGCTTGGAGGGTTTAGGGTGTGACTTCATGCTGGAAACGTGATGGAGCACCTTCACTGTGTCTGTAAAACAGGGTACACGCCCTATGCAGTGACCCACGCGTCTGACCACTTCCAAAAGCTGTACGACCTCGCAGTGGATCTTATTCGCCGGTGAGTGCAAGCAGACTCCTCTCTTCATAGGGCGTTTTGACGCCTCTGTTTCCCCTTCTTCCTGATGATGACACTGTATTGTATCGCGTGTGGCTTAACCGGATCAGTGTCATGTGAATGGTATGTCACTGTCTGCACTGTTCTGCATCCAGGGGCCTCGCCTATGTGTGTCACCAGCGTGTGGAGGAGCTGAAGGGCCACAGCCCTCCCCTGTCCCCTTGGAGGGATCGGCCGATTGAGGAATCTCTGGTGCTCTTTGAGAGGATGAGGAAGGGGGTCTTTTCTGAGGGGGAGGTCACGCTGCGGATGAAAATGATCATGGAGGATGGGAAGCAGGACCCTGTGGCTTATCGCATCAAGTACACGCCGCACCACTGCACGGGAGACACGTGGTACGCTCTCGCACGGATCTCCCCATCCTGTACACATCTCCCCATCCTGTACACATCTCCCCATCCTGTACACATCTCCCCTTAGTCCCCGGGTGCAAACGTATCACAGCCTACTGC